TTTTTTTTTTCTGCCGTTCTTTTTTTTCTTCATTTTTGTTCTTCAATTTATATTGTTAACTCGTTCGTTATTTGCAAACGAGAAAGGGAACTCAGTCAGTTGGCAGAAATGATGGCTAACTTTGAAGAGCATTTTTTTTTTTTTGTTCTGTTTAGTAGTAAAAGCAGTTCAACTGGACTTTTTTTTTTTTGTTCAAAATAGCAGCTCGGTTTTGTAAACCTTTTATAATTTGTCATGCAAACTGATTTGCACCTCAATTTCACGCAAGTTTTTACGCAACATGTTTCACTTTGTATTTATGACGTCATAAGCATTTTATGTTTCAAAAGCAGACACCTTTTAACCGATGGACGTAGTCTTAAAGTTATTTGTTTCTGATCGTTCTCTACCGTTTCCTTCTTACACACTTCTGCATTTTAGATTATGCGTATTCTGGTTGGAGTCAAGCGGGTAATTGACTATGCAGTCAAAGTCCGTGTAAAGCCTGACAAAACAGGAGTTGTTAAAGAGAATGTCCAGCATTCCATGAATCCATTCGATGAAATTGCACTTGAAGAGGCTGTTCGACTAAAAGAGAAGAAGGTCGCATCTGAGGTTATCGCAGTTTCTTGTGGACCTGCAAAAACTCAGGTATCATTAATTAAACAACAGTAGAGCTTTAGGTACCAATCATTGTTCAGATTTTTTTAAAGTTAATATGACATATTTGAATTGAATTCATTTATTTTATGGCAGTCAACAAATGTTGCTTTTTTCATCACAGGAAACTCTAAGGACTGCCTTAGCGAAAGGAGCTGATCGTGCAGTTCACGTCGAAATTGATGAAAAAACTGCTGAAAAAATGGAACCAATTCATGTTGCTAAAGTCAGTTTTGCTTTATTTGATATGGTTACCTTATTGAATGTGCTCTGTAGTCCTAAATAAACATTGTAGATCCTGTCTAAAATGGCAGTGGAAGAAAAAGCAGATTTGATTTTTCTCGGTAAGCAGGCTATAGATGACGATGCCAACCAGACTAGCCAGCTGACTGCGGGATTCTTGGAATGGCCACAAGCACTGTTTGCAAGTAAAGTGGAACCTGAGGACAATGGGTACTTCAAAGTTACAACGTATGTTTAAAACTTCTAAACAATCCTTCGGAGAAGTTTTTAATAAGTTTAAGGGAATACATTCCTCTTTGTTGGCTTTTAAACAGCTTGCCACTCATTTGCACCATTGTATTAGCAAATTTAAAAGTGGTTTTTAAATATATGAAGGGGTACAGCAAAATGTTTTTAAAGTTCATTGTATTAGGTTTTGGCGTAATTTGTACACAAGCTACGCGGAGTAGCAACTGGTAAGGTATGAGTAGTGCCTTGTTTTTCTCACTCTTAGTGGATGACGGTTTAATCAAAAATTGGAGTATTTTTTAGAATAGGGCCATACCATGCCAAATTGCACAAGTTTAAACCTCGACCTCTCAGATTTTTTTCATTTTTTGCCAACTTGTAGCACGTGTTACTGGATTTCGAAATCAAAAGAGTTTACCTCAAAAACTGCGCTGGCGGCAAAGTTAGACCGTTCTGAAGTGCGAAAAAAAACGCAATTCACCCTTGAAATGGTCTTAACAACTTATATATCTCGCAGTTCACACGGATTTTTTTCATTTATG